TATGTGCTTGGTCTGCTCATATGAAGTCTCAATGTTCATTGTGAGCTGAGCCCCCATGCACCTGAGTCCTGACAGCACTGGAGGTCAAGACAGAGACCTTGACATTTGAGGCACCACTGGGTAGCTGTGACCTAGTGCACCGTGAGTTCTTGTCAGAGAAGCCACCTCTCTTCCTCCCTTATACAGGAGCAGGTTAGTGCTGAAGAGAAGGGGAAACCCCTTCCTTCCTCAACAGTACTATGCAAGAGCAGAATTATTCACTGGAGCTTGTGATGTAAACACCAATGAAGACTGGTTTTGTAAAGGCCCACGTGTTACAGTGACATTTGGTTATGTGAAGCAGGCAGTTGTTGTATGGGACCATGTGTCTGTCACCTGTAGAGGAGGGAGCAGACATGAAGAAAGAGGCAGGTATAACCATCCATAATTGGGTACAGGGGCCTTCCAGTGGGTCATAGTGGACAGAGGATGGGAATGGTCTCTAGCTCTTACTCTCCTGGAGGTACAGGATCCCACTGAGGTGAGGTTACCTAGCCCTCTGGTCTTGTCAGGTGGGCACAGTCCCTCTGCTTTATAGGGGAGTGGGCAGAGTCCTCATTGTGCCTCCTTTAGGTTGCCCTGGGCAGAGTTTATTGATAAACCACTGAACAGCAGGAGCTAGTTGTGATGCCAGCCCTGTCCCATAGGGGTGGCACTTTTTCCTCTGGAGCTCTGAAGTCAGGGGAATCTGAGTGATCTCCAAGTCAACAACCTAGGTGCTGAGACTTAGACAACTTTATGGCTCATCCTTAGACAACTCGATGTCTACGAAAAAATCCAACATGTTTTTGTAGAACGTGTATAAGGGTCTGTGTAGTCAATAAGGGCTCACTAGAAGGTGAGCTCCACATGAACAGGAATCCTGTCTGTCTTTGCTTCCTAATGCCTATTATAGTGTCTAGTACATTGTGGATGTAAACTAAACAATAAAATTACTTTTGCAGCTCATATGATAGCTGAATACAGCACACTGCTTCCAGTGTTTCTCCAACCCCCCACGACTAATATTACTAATTAACCCTTACCTAGTAGTTTCTATGTGCCTTTAACATACTTAGCCCATTTAATTTTCTAGCAGCCTTATAGGAAGATCTATTATTCTCTACCATTTTATAGAGGAAGAGACTGAGGCAGAGGGCAGCTAAAAAACCAGCTCGGGGTGGTGCATCTGGTAAGGCCGGGCTGGGGTTCTCACCCCTTGAGTCCAAGGGGTGGCTACTCATCTTGACCAATGCAGAAGCTCCTTGGCTGGAGCAGGGCTTGTTTATTCCTTCTGGGTGAATGAGGATGTGCCCAGGTAACCTCCTGAGCTTGTTTACATCTCCCTGGGACTAAAAAGTGTTCATTTTAAAAGGAGAATGTCAGAGTTTCACCACTGACATCCACTGGTTCATCATCCCACCATAAGACCAAAGAAGGGTTGCTCTAAGTGACAGTCATACGTATTAGTGCAAAAATGGCTGCAGTGAGAAGAGATTGTAAAGAAAAAATAATGACTTTAATGAATTTATATCCTATTTTTAACAAGAGGAAAAAAAGACTTAAACTCCATTATGAGAACATAAATTGAACTGAAGTAAAAGAAAACAACTGGGACAGGGTCATAAAATAGTGGCAGGGTTTAGCCTATAACGATGCAGCAAAAACTTGTACACCAATTTGGCTGTGAGCTTTCTTGCAGCCGAACAGGGAAATCTGATCCACTCTCCTAGGTGCCAAGTCTGCACCATTAAAAGCCTGAAGGTATAGGAATTAGCTGTGGGGTTAGGATACAGTAGTGGGAACAAGCGTTAGTCACAGGTTGTGCTGCCCAAAAAATGGCACAGTTGGAGAAGGAGCGGACATTGTTATCAAGACTTGGTCTGAGCTGCACTGCTTGCTCAGAATGATAGCAAGATGTCTCACAAATGTTGAAAATACACATGCATCTTCGGCTGACATTCCTAGGTGGCATATGTTGTAATCCTACTTTCTTTTTGCTGTAGGGCAAAGCAGGGTACTTAATGGCAACTAGTGGCCATTTTGCATGAATCTCAATCTGTTTGGAGTGGTGCTAGAAGCAACTCATTGCTGTGGGGCTTGTAGGATAGTGATTACATAACCATTCAATGATTGATTTCAGACCTCATCTAGGTTTGGGCATGCAAGTAATTACCTTACATGGTGGCAATGCAAGTATCTGGTTTTTATAGATAAATTATAGTTTATAAAGCATTTCTAGCCAGACATGGTGCTCATGCCTGTAACCCTACCTACTTGGGAGCCTGAAATTGGGAGGATAGCAGTTCAAGGCCAGTCCAGGCACAAATTTCATCAGACTCAATAGCTAGGTGCACTGGTGCACACCTTTCACCCCAGCCACACTGGAGGCTGAGATTGGGAGTATCAAGGCCAGCATGGGCAGAAAAGTTCCTGAGACCCCATTTTATCAGAAAAAGCTGGTCATAGTGGTGCACCACTGTCATCACAGCCATAGTGAGAAGCATAAATAGGAGAATCCCCATCCAAGCTGGGCCAGGCAAAAAACAAGACCCTATCTCCAAAATAACCAGAGTAGAAAGGGCTGGAGGCATGGCTTAAGTAGTAGAGCAAAGCTCCACTGGTTCAGTCTCCAGTACCACCAAAAATAAAAAACATTTATGTGCATAAATTGTATTCTTAGAATATACCTGTGAAGTAAATTGTTAGTTTGGTTTCATGCTTGAAGAAATTGAATCATAGTAAAACAAGGAGCCAGAGATAAGAAGGTGACACTGGATCCTTTCAGTCTAGGACCTCTGGGCAGTGTTCTTGGAGAATGACTGGTTTGGTTTCTTGGATTCTTCTTTTTTAATGTGTTCCTATATAGTGATAGTGAACCCTTATTGCAGTAGTTGCTATAGGGTGTGATATAAAAGTTGAGAACGTGAATCTCATAATCTCTGGTGTTCCTTGTTCTGTTGAACATCTACCCTGAACTGAGAGTCTTGTCTGTCTTCTGTGTGACGATAGGAGGAGCCATAATGGGAACAGCTGGCCAAGCCCTGAGCATCTGGCCAGGCATTTCCTTCTATGGGAACCAGCTTCTTCCTGCTTTCTGAAGGGCAAGAGAGGGGAAGAGACAGGTGCAAAGGTACAAGGCATTGCTGACCTGAAATTGAACCTGGACCACAGACTCCTAGTCCAGAGTCATTTGTATGGACCAAGATTTGCCCACTCTCCTCTCCAACAGACCCAGGGAAAGGAATGTGGGCCATTTGTAGAGTGGAGATCACGCATGGTGAGGAAGGGAGCTTAGCTGCCCTAGGTCTGCCTTAGAGCCATAACAAGGTGGAAACCATGTCTGTATGGATGACTTCCTGATGGAGTTTGCAGCAACATGTGATGCACACTTTTGGACAAAAAGTCTAAATTCATAAAAATCAAAGCTTCCCCTTTCCTAGCAGGCCTACTCAGAAGATGAATTCTCCTGACCCCACCACTCCACTCAGGCTCTGGCCACCCCCAACTGAACCGCTGTTCTCTGGATTGCCAGATTCAACTGCTGTTTTATTCCTCATCTGACCCTCTGTCAGCAGGTGATATAGTGATCAGCAGTCACACAACACAGCCAGTCTCTCCCTTCTGCTGATGCGCTTTCTTCTGGGCTCCACCCTGTCTACTGTCCTCCTTCCCCTATCCTAGACCTCCTCTGCTGCTTCTCTTCCACATCCTGATTTAGATGTCCTTCCCAGGACTCCATCCTTAGAGCTTACCTCTCTTCCTCATTCCCTAGGTGGTCTTCTTAGTCCACCTCTCCATGGGATAAGTCCCAAAGAACCTCACCCCAGATCTGTGTCTCTGCAGTTGATTTGTTCAGATTTCCCCATCATGCCATATTTTCTCTGCTACTCTCCTAGATGTCTGCTTCCCAATCTTCTGAACTTCTCTCCTGTGTTCTTTGTTGACTCCGCACCCCAGTTCCTACTGTATCCTACAGGGCTCCCTGCTTCTCTCTGGCTAAATGGGAGCAGCCCTGTTGTCATTCCCACCACCACCATCACCACCACCACTACCCTTTTTTTCTGTGGTGCTAGGAATCAAATCCATGATCTTGTACATGCTAGGCAAGTGGCTCTACCACTGAGTTGCATCCCTAACCCCATTCCCTGCTTTTCATATCTGGCTGCTCTGTGTGTGCCTTGCTCCTTGCTCCAGTCTCTATCCTTTGCCTCCTCCGGGGCTGCGGTATTCATTCTACTGCTGCATTTGGCTTTCAGGTGATCATGGCTCTGTCTTCCCTTTGAGCGAGCAATGTCTGTGTGGAGGAGGACTGTTCATTTGCCCTTCAAAAGTCTCAAGACACTTAGAATACTTTTCCCAGGGAACAGAAAGAATTAACCATCTTGCACTCTATGCTGCATCCCATAAAAAGCATCCATGACAATGTGGAACTCCATGGCCTTCCCCACTGACTGTTGTCTTCAGCCATGCTTAGATCTCAGTGGGTCAGGAAACCCTGCAGTTTTCACCAGCCCCAGGGGACAAACAAACCTGTAGAGTGACATAGCCCAGCAGATTTGTCTAGTTAGCTCTTGAATTTAAATTTTATTGCCTAAATTGGGGAGTGGGTTGGTTAACTATGCTTATAAAAAGAAAGATGGGAGGAGCTCACTATATGACTTCAGAAGTCCTTGATATTGCAGGTAGAAATTTGTTAAATAATCGGAGCACCTCTGCCCTGTCAGCAATTTCGTCACTGCCAGGCTGGAGTAGTTTGGGGTCAAGTTCTAGTGAGCTCTGCATTGTTTGTGGACAAATGCATCTTGACATTTCTCAAATAAGAAATACTTACACACATCCATAGACAAAACTCACTGAGAATATAAGCAGCAGTCAGAATGACTTTGCAGTGGAGACAGCCTGAATGGTGGGCAAGATTTTCAACTCCAGCATTTTTCCATAAGTAATTATCTTCAGGGCTTGTTTCCTTGTTTTTCCAGACATTCTAAGTGAGACCCTTTGAGTCATCTAGGAAAATGGTGGCCTTGTCCTTAAAGATTTGTGTCCGCCACTGCAATGTGGTGAAAACCATGCAGTTTGAACCATCTACAGCGGTGTATGATGCCTGTCGAGTCATTCGGGAACGGGTCCCTGAGGCACAGACTGGGCAAGGTAGGTCATGGCTCTTTGCTGCCTTCTGAAAATGTTTGTGTGTTGCTTACTTTGTAGTTAAAGGAGCAAGGTCTTTGAGTGGTGCACGTGCCTCCAGGAGTGGTGTGCTTTAAATGTCTTCTTGGAATGGACACTCCTTGCTTCCTGTGTGAGATCTGGGATAACAATGACCACCACATCACCTTTGAGTCTTCAGCACGGCCACGTCTGCTCAGCCCTCCCTCACATCAGCACCACACGCTGCAGTTTACAAACAACTTTTTAATGTATCTTCTCATTTTCCCAATAAAGCTCAAGGAGCCTGTCCTGACACATACTGGCTGTGGGCATGCTGAACTCTGTGTCCCATGCTTGAACATTTTCTGCCACCGTCAGGGCCTGGAGCAAGTTTTAGATTGCAAGCCCTTTGAAAGAGCCTTAAGAATTTTATCTCAAATCTTTTTAAAAAGGCATTTGTGATATGTTTTGTTTGCTATTTGGTTAAAACACTGACCCCCATTAATCTGAGTTTAAGCAAAAGCCATTCACACAGTTGACTTTCCCTTTCCTTTTGTCTCCTTATTTAGGTGCTTATTTGATTGACAACTGAGAAATTGGGATCACTTGTAAATAGATAAGGCTTCTGTATGAAAATAGGTCAAAATTACCTTAAAAACTGAATGTTGAGAATCAAACATGACATTCAGTGTAATTATAAAGGAACAGGTCTTCTTGAAAAGATTTGATTTTTAACTGGGCACTTGGTGGCTCACACCTGTAATCCTAGCTACTTGTGAGGCTGAGATTGCGAGGATCGTTGTTTAAGGCCAGCCCTAGCAAATAGTTTGAAAGGCGCCATCTCCAAAATAACAAGAGGAAAATGGACCAGAGGTCTGGCTCAAGCAGTAGAATACCTGCTTTACAAGCACCAATCCCTGAGTTCAAACCCCAGACCCACAAAAAAAAAAAAAATCCCTTTTTCGCAGAACTCTTTTAACACTTGCTCTGGCATTATTTATATTACTCAAAATGCTATGCTACATCTATCTTAGCTAGAAATAAAACAGTTTGTTGACAGCTTTTACCTAAGATTTGGTTGTCCATTCGCTTCTGATACCTTTACTTTTCAGTTCCTTTTCTATTAGACTTTTTAAAAACTTCTTTGGCTGGTTTGCAATAAGGAAAGTATATGTGTATAAAGACCCGGAAGTTGTTTTTCTGGGAAGCAGCAGGAGCTTGGCCCCTCCTCTGGGTCTCTGAGGTTTCATTAATTAAGTTAAGGAAGAGAGAAGTCTGTGTAGGAAATGAGGCAGATCGCTCTTCTCCTTCAATGCCTTGAACTCCCTAGGTAGGATTAAGGGCTTCTATGGAGAACACAGAGTTTAATTTCCTGACTATTTCCCTGTATGAGGGATAGTTGGGAGTGAGGCTTCATCTCACAAGGAAGTTCTACCAGTCTTTTATGAGTGTGTGAGACGGGGCCTCACTAAGTAGCCCAGGCCGGCTAAAGCTTGTGAGCTTTCTGCCCAGCATACCAATGTTTATAATATGCTCTGCTGTTCATCATTCATGGTATCAAGGCTACTTGTCCCCGATGTGCCTCAGTGCCCTTGGGCTTAGTGGTCACTTGCTCAGTTTCTCCATGGTTATTTTGTCACTCCATGAGTGCTTGGCCTGGTTTTTACAGCAAAGACTGGAGAACAAAATCAAATTCAGTTTGACAGTTGTACTACTTTGTTTCTGGTGATTCCCTAAATTTCACATGCACCTCTGGCCCAGTGTCCTCAGAAACATGAACTTTGTGTACAGTGATTCTGTAGCTCAGCTCTACTCCTGCCCTGGGCTGTGGGAAGGGAGCCTTCCTTGCCAAGTCGGTTCACTTGAGCTTTGGTTCTGTAATGGCTTCATAAAGCCATTCTGCCTTCCCTTTTTCTCTCTGTGTCTGTTCCAGCTTCTGACTATGGGCTGTTCCTTTCGGATGAAGACCCTAGGAAAGGGATTTGGCTGGAAGCGGGCAGGACACTGGATTACTACATGCTGCGGAATGGGGTATGCCACTGGTCCTGACTTGTTTTCTCATTGCTTTGGCCCTGGGACCTTCGTAGAAGCCACCACCGTTGCATTATTTTCATCAAGGGCATCTTACTAACAGTTTCCGTATAGTGTACTTCATGAGGTTGTCCAGTGTCGAGAAGATATATGCAATGAAAATTCTCGAAGTTCCTCAGGAGGACTAAAATAGTTTAGGGTTGGTATTTTAAGCAGTGTTTCCATGTCACTGTTGGACTTGATCGTGAGTTATGAGGTAAGACACAGCATCTTCCTGTAAGTAGGTATCCCTAGGACTGGTATAAGAAAGTAAGTATTATCCTAAAGTGAAGTGTGATCTTAAGGGTAAAATGAGACTGGATATTAGTCAGTATTTTGTTTTTGAAAAGAAACTTCAAATTGGCCATGTGAGTTTAATAACCTTCAGTAATAACCACAAAGCAGTTGTTTATTGGAAGTGAGGATGAATGAAGAAAGACATATTCAATGTTCTAATCCACTTAAACTCCAAGATAATTGGGTTTTTGTACAAAGGATACAGTGGACCTGTCAAGATTGGCCAGTATTCCATAAAACAAGAGTGAAATATTTGATTAATTAATTTTTCCCTCCATAGTTCTGCTTGTAAGAAGTGTAACTAAAGAGACAGAGAGAAAGACCTCAGATTTTAAAATGACTCCCAAACTTATTACCTGTTTGGCCTTGCCATTATTGTCTTTCACTGCAGTCTTGCAGAAACCATTCTGACTGTGATATGCCACTACTATGCAGAATTATGGAGATATTATTTATGTCTTTTTATACAAGCTGCATATGTTGCAAATACATGTATAGCAAAAACATTTTTTAGTAAAAATTGCTTGTGATGGCATAATGACCAGAGAAGTGCACTACTGTCCTTTGAAAGGGCACAAAGGCATTTTCCTCTCCTCATGCTCATTAGCAAGCTCTCTCCCAGCCTTTCAGGAGGACATCTGCCATTTTCACTTTGCAGAGAGTAGTTTTCAGTTATTGCAAGCTACACGCATTCCTTCTTGATGTGAAATTTCACTACCATATTTTTTAGAAATCTTTATGAAAGCAATTATTTAGCCCTTAAGATTTTATATTAGTCATAGCAACACCCCCATGAAAACTTAGGGAGACTTTCAAAGAAGTTTTTGGAAGAATGAGGAAATTGGTGGCTGCTGGAGACTCATTGTTCAAAGAAAAGTATCCAAATCTGTTGTCTGCTGTCCCACTGAGTGTGAAACATGTGTGTGGCTTGTGCTGTAGGATATTTTGGAATACAAGAAGAAACAGAGGCCTCAGAAAATCCGAATGTTGGATGGATCTGTGAAGACAGTGATGGTGGACGACTCTAAGACTGTGGGGGAACTCCTGGTCACTATCTGCAGCAGGATAGGTAGGCACTCCCAGCCTCTGTGTTCCCATTTGCTTTGATTTTCATTGCATCCACCTCTAGGAGGTGTCTGGGCAGTTTGGAATATGTCTTCACACCAGAGAGAATTCTGTCGAACTCCAAGAGAGCATGTCCACTGATTTGCTGAACCACTATCTAGTATTATAAACACTTAGAATTCTCACTAAATCAGTTAAGAGCTTTGATATCTCTTTCAGAAAACAAAACCAAATGAAAGTGATTTTTCAATTGTGTAAGTCAGCACTTCCTCCCCTGCATTGTATTCCAGCATCATTGATGTCCTTTATCTCCTTGAGTGCTCGTGGTAACAAATAGCCCATGTGATTGACTTTTGGGCAGATTCTCTTCTTGTAGCTTCCATTAATCTCCCCAGAAAATAGCTCTGCCCCCTTCCACATAGCCTTTCAAATATTTGAAAAAGTAGCCTTGCCTACCTTGGTTTTTCTCCATGGAAAGGGAGCCCACTTCCTTTGAACATTTCTTGTTTGACATCAGCTTGCCTTCCTCTGCCTGGTCTCTACTTGTTTTTCAAAAATTAGTAGAGAGACTAGGATGTAACTCAATAGTGCCAGCTCCTGGGTCAGATCCCAACTGACTTCATATGAGGAAGGTCTCCTTCTGTCTTATGCCAACATAGATTCATTGCAATATCTCAGACCCTTGGTGGAAAGAGTTGACAGCAATTTAATCACTTAAAATTGTAACCTAATATCTGTTGTTAGGAATAACAAATTATGAAGAATACTCTTTAATCCAAGAAACCATTGAAGAAAAGAAAGAAGAAGGAACAGGTACACTGAAAAAAGACAGGACGTTGTTACGAGATGAGAGAAAGATGGAGAAGTTGAAGGCCAAGCTTCACACTGATGATGACTGTAAGTGTTTGGGAAGAAGTGTGATCACATGCGTGGTTTCTACCAAGCTTGCTCCTCTGTCATCCTGTATGACTCAAAGTAGGTTTGGGATTTTTGTTTTAATCTGTAAATGTTTGGGTTGTGTCACTAAAAGATAAAAGACTTCTAAAGAAAAATGACTCTATTACCATTCCTCATCTTGAAAAAATTCCTTAATATCAAATATACAAATTATATTCACATTTTTCATTATCTTCTAAACATTTTTTAATAGTTCAAATTCATTGAACTATTAAAATAAGGTTGGATGACATGCCACTTCTCTCTTTTAACTAAGTAGGGTCCCTCTCCATCTCGTATTTTTTTCCTTGCAATTTGTGTGTATGTATGAAGAAACTAGATAGTTAAGGGCTAGGGCTCTGGCTCAGTGGTCAAGTACTTGCCTGGCATGTTCAAAGCCCTGGGTTCCATTACCAGCACTCGGGGACGGATGGGGGGAAAGAAAGAAAGAAAAAGGAAACAGATGGTTAATTGTTCAGCTTTTCCTATACATGGATTTTGGTGATTCCATACCTGTAATGTCATGTAGTGTGTCCCTCTGTCCCTTTTAATCCCTTAGATCTGGAGGCTTGCTTAGATTCATTTGTGTTTTAATAAAGACTCTTTCTTTATGCAGTGGTGGCATACACTTCCATCAGGAAATTGTTTCTGATTGTTTTTGGGGGGAAGATGTTACCAGTCATTGACAACCATTGCTTAGATCCATCATTTCCCTAGGGGTTAAAATTGGTGACATAATTCTACCAAAGCAAACACATTTTCCACAGCCACACAGTTAGTATGTGGAGAAGCAACATATAACCCCAGAGGCCCCAGGGGCCATGTTGTGTGTACCCTGCTGCCCACCTTCCACTGACAGTATCTGAATTTATTACCCAGCTTACTTAGGCTTTTCTTTCAACCTATTTGTTCTGGCCACAGCATTGGGATGACATCATTATTATCATTATGTTTATTAATCTTTGGTGTGGCTGTTATTTCCTCTGACTCTTTCTCTAGTCCCTTTTCTTTCTGCCTCTTTAGAGTTCCAGTTACATAGTTCTTTCCAAGAGACTTTAATAAACAAGTCCCAAGGAATAATTAATATCTCCACAGTACTCTACCAGATACTGTGGGAGCTGAGGACTGGCAGACATTCTGTGTGCCACAGTCACTTAGCATCTAGTGAAGCTGGTCATAAATACTTACCCATAGCATATGTGTTAACACAGAGAGCAGTGGAGGAGAGTGAGCTGGAGGAAATGTGCAGGAGAGTGATCCATTGCCGTGCACCTAGGTGTAAGGACAAGATTCTAATGGCTGAGATTCAAGTTGGCCAATGAGTGATGGGGACTGTCTGCTGTCTCCACCCTTCAATGCTCTGTCTGCCCCCACTACCCCTTCCTCTTTCCCACTTGGAGTCAGAAGTAACTTGTTATACTCTGTGTCTCTAAATTACCTCATTTGATGAGACTAAAGAATCTACTCTTAATTTAAAGGAAAAGTCTAACTTGGTTTCTTAGTACAGAACACTGATTTCCTCATCCCCCTCACCCTCAAGGTAGAAGGGAGATAGTATACATAGGTTGTAGTGCTTTATCTAACTTTAGGAATGGCTGGAATTTTCTCCCTTCTTTCTTTTTTTGGTTAGTGATATGGCATATAGAAATTACCTTGTGAAGTTAAAAGGCACTGTTTTAATAGAAGTAACTTTAACTGACCCTCAGCCTTATATAAATCCACATGCTGTTTTGGTAAATCCCTTTGAATTAATAGGAACAATGAATGCAGTTTTTCATGTTTTCTGTTGCAGTAAATTGGCTGGATCACAGCCGAACATTCAGAGAACAAGGAGTAGATGAAAATGAAACGTTGCTGCTTAGAAGGAAATTTTTTTATTCTGATCAGAATGTAGACTCCAGAGACCCAGTGCAGCTGAACTTGCTTTACGTCCAGGTACATTATTTACTACTCAGACAATAGGTTGGGGAGTGTCAGGAAGCTCCTGGCTCTGTGTCATGAAGAGCAGGAGCCCAGCTCTGGCTCCTATGGCATTCACAGTATCTAGCATCCAGGGACTCTGCTTCTGGGTTCCTCATATATGTTTGATGGTGTTATGTATTGGTGTCAGACAAGATCTGGCTATCCAGAGGAAGGCCTCATTGGACCTTTCTGTGACTTCCCAGATTGGGACCTGGTGGCCAGCACTGTCTTCCATCTGGCTTTGAGAGACAATTGTGTTCATTTAACTGGCTTGCCATTTCAAATACACTAAGGCTTTATTAGCTAGAATCTTAGTACACAAAAAGTATAGCAGTCAGCAAAATCAGTACTTCTCATTAACTCAAATAACTCAAATAATTTTGTCTTCACCATTAAATAATTGTTTAAATTCTGACAAGTCATTTAACACATCTGAGTTTCAGTTCCCCAATATTTAAGATAGGGGCTTTGCACTAGATGGTCTCCAGGATTTCCTTTGGCCCAAGGAAAATGCCCATATTTCTTTCACTTTCTTTCACCCAAAATTCCTTCACTTCTCTCTTCTTCCATTTATGTACTTATTTGCCCATAGAAATAATGCAGGAGTTGCAAACTGCAGCCAGGCCCTTTGCTTGTATTGGGAAGTAAGCAATGTATTTATTTACACATTATACATTGGTAAATCCCCTACACCTTACATAATGTTTATGCATTTTCCGTGGCTGCTTTTGTGTTCCAGTGGTAGAGGTGAGTAGTTGTAAGACAGGCTCTGAAACTCTGCAGTATTTACTATTTGCTGACCCCTATTTCATGGAAGTAAGAATGCCAACAAAGAGGCTGGAAAGCTGAAGGAAGGGAGATATCAGGGCAAAGACAAGATGCTTGTGAGTTTAGGCAGTGTAAAAGCTAAAAGAGTTCATAAAGGGTGATCTGGGTCAATTAATGGAAAGTAAAATATCAAGGGAACTGGAAGGACTTTGGACACAGTGATACCTCATTCTGGAGCTGTATATGGTTTATCCTTGCCCTAAATGTCTTGAGTTTTGCATTCTTCTGTGCATGTCTGTCTTTCTCTCACTGGTTTTTACCTTGAGATGGAGTTTGGGGTATTTATTCTTTGTGTTATTTTTCTGCTAACTTTATGTTTTAGGCTCATAAAAAGTAAATTATGTTTCTAATTCAGCCTATGTGAGTTTGATCATTGTCATGGATTTTCCTTGCCTCTTTATTTTTCACATTCACCTTTACCTCCCTAGATTATCAGCAGGCTTCTCTTTTGATATGCCAGATATCTTCATGCTCTCCAGCTATTGACTGTTTCAGGAAAAAACTTGTTTTCCTTTGGCCATGATTCTTCTGGGCTCCCATCATTCATTGCATCCTGAGTGACTGTGGCTCCTGTCCTTGCTCCCAGGCACATGAGTGCTCAGTCAGGGATGTGTCAATAGGAAGAAGCGTCACACTCCCCAGGGCCCTGATGCTTTTCCTTCCTGGTGTGTTTCAGGCTCGGGATGACATCCTGAATGGCTCCCATCCTGTCTCCTTCGAGAAAGCCTGCGAGTTTGGTGGATTTCAAGCCCAGATTCAATTTGGACCTCACGTGGAGCACAAACACAAGCCTGGATTCTTGGAGTAAATGACCTTTTGTTTTTCTTCTGTCTCTTCTCTCCTGTTTTTTCATCTGTTTATTTTTGAGCAAAGTACCCAAAATATAAAGCCCTGGTTTCAGTTGTTGGTGAGAAAGTTAACTTTTACTCAATAGAATATCTGACCAAATTTGTGAACTATGGGAAAGCAAAAGGCCTAGAAGTTCAGAAGTGGTACCACTATAAAGGGTCTGTTCTGAGTTCCAACAGCAGGTGATTCCCTCTCCACCAAAGATTCTGGGCCCCTTCTGGCTATTTTCCAGCCTGTCCATGTACCTGAAGAATTCACTCCCTTTACCTCCTGTAGTCTCTGCCCACTGATTAGTATGTAGTTCCTTCAGGCTAGACAGTATTTAGTCATCTCCAATTGCTTGACACTCCTATATTAGAACAACAAAGCATAAATGAGAGAGATTCTCATTCTTCATTATAATCTTGTGAGTTTCTTGTTGCTTTGAAAGTATACCATGAACGTTAAATACTCACTCCACCCTTTTCTCCCACTTGGTCTTTGATTGTCTTTTATAAATGTCAGGGGTGCTTTCTTCTGCTCTAGACTCTGAGATGTCAAGAGAAAGCTGACCCTACAGATTCATCATTCATCAGAGTTAGGGGTCTTAGGTTTGGGTCTGCTGGAAATGCCCAGCAGGGCAGTCCCTGCCACTACTAGGCTGCTGTTGTCTGAGCTTGTACTTACCCCTGTTTGGATGGGGACTTTTCTAATGGTTTTATGAATATGTTCCTCTGATAATATTCCTTTTCTTTATCTTTCTTTATCTTTCTGCATCCTCTTGGTGAAGATGAAACATTTGGGTGAGACAAAAACAATCATCCAGAGTCTCACTATGGTCTGTGTCCTGCTGTCACCAACCTGTAGAGTGTTTGGAAGTGGGGACCTGATGAATGCCAAGTGGGGGGAGGGAAGAGGACATGGGCATTACTGTCAGGATGCTGCGAGCACAAGATGTGTCGAGCAGGCCATCCCTGGCATTGTGTCCAGTATATTGAGGGGAGGGAAAATTCAAGGCTTATTTGACTCTTGACCCCACTTTCACCTTGGAGGTAAAAAATTGGGACCAGCTTAGTTCCTGAGAAAGAAGAAAATCTGACTTTCCTCTTGCAGAGACAATGTGTGGTCAACATGCTAATGGGTCTAAACTGAGATGTTGCAAGGAGAAAAAGCAAACAACACACCACCACTGAGTTAATGAACCCCAGGAGTCTTTGCACAGTGATGCTTTGTCCTGCAGTAGCCATGCAATGACCTGAAGCCTGAGAGTGCTTTGAGGCATTCCTGTCACTTACTGTGTTCTGTGTTCCTCAGCTGAGTCATGTAGCCCCGTGTTCCTCAGGGCCTGTTTCTCTGTGGCTGCTCTGGCTTCCTTCCACAGGCCCCTGGAGGAGCTTGCCTTCTGTTTCACATGACACCACATGCCTTATATGTGTGTGGCCATGTGCACATGCTCTGAGAGTAGTTTTCACATTCCCATCTTCCAGCCTTACTGCTGGTCCCTCACATACATCTGAGGTCATAAACCTGGGGATTATGGCCACAGATACTGATAAATAAACACCAAGAGCCAGTTAGGCCTTGGAGGATACAACATTTTGCTTCTACTTCTAGTGTGACTAAGAAAGAATATGAGAAAAGGCAGGGCAGGTTAATGAATGAAAAAACTTTAAATCAAATGTTTCCCTAAATCTTAGGTTTTCATAGCTGTAATCGTGTGTGGCTCTGGTGGAAGGGAGAGCTAACTAGAACCATTGGTCAGGTGCCCAAGCAATGCTAATACTACCACAGTCATTTCATGTCTGTCCTTTTTCCTGAGCACGGGAGCAACTAATTTTCAGGAGCCCCTTGTGAATGGAGAAAATCGTATTTCATGTGGTAGGTGGGAAAGAAGAGAGGAGCAGCTGGGCATAGTGGTGCACACCCTGTAATTCCAGCTCCTCAGAATGCAGAGATCAGGAAGATCACTGTTCAAGCCCAACCTACACAAATAGTTAACAAGATCCCCTCTCAACTAATAGGCTGGGCGTGGTAAAGTGCACCTGTGATCCCACTTACTTAGGAGGCATAGGTAGGAAGATTGCAGTCCAAGGCTGGTTCCAGGGCAAAAAAAGTGCAAGACCCTACTTGAAAAATAACTAAAGCAAAAATGGGCTGGAGGCACAGCTCAAGTGGTAGAACACCTTTCTAACAAGTACAAGGCCTTGAGTTCAAACCCTAGTATCTCTCCAAAAGAAAACAACAGAAGAGAGGAGGAGTTTGTTCATAGTTACTTAAATAGCTTCTGCTTCTAACCCTGGGCTCTATAATTTTCAAAGGCATTTCTACTTTCAGGGCAACGTTGCCCCTTTCACTGTAGCAAAATTAGGAAGACACTTAAGAATGTGACTAAAAAATTCTTTGGTCTCCTTCCTGATGTCATCCATGTCCTGGTGAATGCTACTTTGCGGCCTGTTGCTTGTGTAGAGATAACAAACTCACCTCAAAGGGTTGGTATCAGTCTTCACAGTGTCCAGAGCAATTTATGATCCTGTTTTGTGCTTCATACTTACACTCCAATAAAAACACCCTCCTTTTAATCATCTGAGGTAGCAAAAGGCAAGCAGATGTTTGGCGTCAGGTTTTTCTTCTCTTAAGATATACCATGAAGCTTATGCCTTTAATAGAATGTGTATCTTTACTTAGATCCTAAATTAAAATAAGCTTATTATGCCTGGTGGCAATTATTTTTTCCTTACAAATTTGATTTACTTTTTAATTATACCAAATCTAGTCTAGGCAATGAAGCATTTCCACTTAATATAGGTATTTAATTGTGCATGTTCTTGATCATACTGTACAGGTAAAACTTCGTGGAAAAGTAAGTCCCCTCTTAATGAATACAAAACAGCAAGTCCACATTTCCCTGATTTCTTTATTTACATGTGGATTTCGTTTTCTCCTGGGCTGTCCCTGGTGACTGACAGTGCTCAGTTTTGAAGTGTTTATATCTTTCTGCACCTAGTCTTGATACATGCTATCCAAGTGAACAGTATCAAGTTAAAAAAAAAAAAACTATAATAATGGGATGATTGGATTTGTGACAGGGTCAGGCTAAAGGTATAGCCACCAGAAATTTCATTCATGTAGTTTGTGAATGAGACACATAGGTGTGCGCTTAACAAGTATAGTTCTTTTAAGTTTTTAATTATTTGTCTAGAATTTTTGTTTCATGTCGGTCTATAATATGAACACTTTTAGGAAAATCTCTTTCAGCTTCCTCCATACTCTTCAATGATTCAGTACCTTAGTGAAGTGGTATTATTTCACTTAGAAAAGTAAAAACCAGAGAAAAAGACTCACAGTTTTCAGGGATTTAAGGATTACTTAATATGTCTCTCTACTCTAGAGAGCCGTGCTAGATAAAGAGACAGAGACAAGGCCCAGAGCCCATCAAAAGCTGAAAACCAGGTCTCCCAAATTGAATCTGATATGCTTTTATCTACATGACAGCTTTCCTTAGGCCACCTGTCAAGAGTCCCAGAAAGGAACATTATATTGGCTCATTGAATAAATACAACCCATGATCTAATAATCATGTATTTGCTTTATGCTCTTCTGGATCCAGAAAATTCTTGCCAGAAAACACCAAAGACTTGTATATATGTGTGATCTTGTGCCAGGTGTAGGGAGGACATAAGGGAGATATGTACACATTCCTTGCTGGTTTTGAGTCCAAAGTCTAGGTAGCAAATAAACATAGGAAATGGTTATTATTGGGATCCAAAACTTGGCTCCAATTTCAGTGAAATCTAAGTTTTGAGCTATATTTTAAATGTAGGATAGTCTATTTAGGATTCTGAAAGTTGCAGTTTAAGCTATGGGGTCTACTACAAATCGTTTCTAGAAAATTTGGGAAATGTATGGTGCAAGAAGCAATGTTGATCAAAGAAATGGACCCAAAAGTAGGTAAATCTATAAAAAGAATTAATCTTTTACAGTATCAACAACAAAACGTTGTAGTAATGACTCATTGCAGGACCCTTAAAAACATGATAGAAAATGTTAAGTAGGAAATGAGTAAATGCCTTCCAGGACTTTATTGTATTGGAGAAGATGAGGGTTACTGACAAACCTTAGGCTCAAGTCAAGTATATGTGGTAAAATTAAAGGTAATTCTAGGGAATGGGTATGGAATATTCACTGCACAATTCTTTCAACATTTTAGTGTGCTTGAAGTTTTTTACAATAAAATTGTTGGGAAAGAAACTGAAAGTAGCTTAGGAGTATAGAAATTGTATATAGAAACAATGAGAGAAATCAGACTTTACAAAGTCTTTCATAAGATTCTATTACTGGTCAAAACAAACAAAAAGAAATAAGCCATAATTTCCATACCATTTGGGGGTTCTGGGAGAAAGTAGTACAATTTCACCACTACAATGCTACGTGTTGGATTATGGAAATAAAGCCAGGAAAAGTGTATAAATAAAATGCATAAAATAAGATATAATAAATACTTTAAAAATATGAGATATCAGGTCAAATTTAGCAGTTAATAAATAGGTTCTCATATTGCATGGAATTTTTTTTGAAGTCTAGATCTGTACTATTTCTAAAAGACACTTTAAAATGTATGATTGAAAAGGTTAAAGTAAATGAATGGAAAATCATGCACCAGTAAGTAACCAATCAAAGCTGGAGAAGCCATATTTAATGTCACATGACATAGACTTTAAGATTAAAAAAAGCTTAAGTAAAGATAAATAGGATCATTTTAAAAATAAGATTATCCTGATTATTCACCAGGATGATACAATAATTGTAAATCTTTATATGTACCTAACATTCCCCTTAACATGTACAGAGTAAAAACAAAAATCTAAACATTAAAGTTAAAATTTTAATGGAGTCGTTTTTATGTCAACACAAATTTTTTTATTGTTTTTATTCATATGTGCATACAAGGCTTGGGTCATTTCTCCCCCCTGCCCCCA